ATATGATTTCCTTCCTAAAGATTGGTAGATCTTAGTCTATTTCAATTTTTTGTCTGTTGATGATAGCCGATTTACTTAAATACCAGGCTTCTAGAAATTCTCTCTCTAAGATTTGGACATTATCCCAATCGAATTTGGTGTCGGTAGCTGTCTGCACACAGTGATGTGACGGAGTGGATATTGTATCTTGTGACGCCTAGTTTATCTTCATGGGTGCGAAGACGGAGAGGGTGTCTACTTTGATGAATGTAATGCTTTTCACAGTCGTTGCAGTGTTTATCTTGTTCATGATGTTGGTTTTGTTTTCTTTCGCTGTTATCCTCTTTCGGTTGACATATAGCCGAGTGAAGTGATTTTGTTGGTTTATGGGCTGTATCGATTGCAAAAGGTTTGAACAATCCCCACAGTGATTTCGGAGATGTTTTTTTGTATATGGTAGGATAATTTTCTTTGCATTTTGATTTGGTTTGTTGGCTTGAGGGCGAATGTCTTTTGATGAAGTTTCATGGTTTATCCATTTATTTTTTGAAGACGGTCATAAATCATAGTCTCTCACCTCCTCCTCCCCAAACGCGATCGCCTCCACGTCACCCTCGGATCCATGCCCAACTCGTTGTTCTCCTTTCCTGTGACCAGAAGGTCCTGGGTTCAAACCCTGGCAGTGGGTGTGTACTGCTGCCGATGATGCCCAAACTTGGCTGGTGAAACAGCTGTCCAATACTCCCTGGGGGGTTTTCAGTGGTTCTCTAACTGATATCGATCCCTGGTCAAACTCGAAAGAAAAAAAACAAATCTCTTCCTTACAAATCAACTGTTAATAAATAATCTCAGTTGTTTAAATTCTCTATTAAATTAAATTAGACTACATAACAGCACTTTTGTTTAATTGTGTGTGTGTGTGTGTGTGTGCTATCGATTGAAGTAGCAAAGGTTTTGTCATAAATCTACTGATTACTATTTTATCTTTGTGGTTGGCTGTATAAAAAAAAGTGAATATCACATTTAATAGCGCTGTTTACTTTTTAGTAACCAAGCTTAAATTATATGTAATTTGCGTTGACTCAGTATCTCTCCATTGTTGTTGATTAAGATGTACTTGGATGGAGATGTGGCTCATTGGCTCTCTAGTGTTAGGCTTTCATCTAGTCGGTGACTAGTTCGAGCCTCTCTCTCCATCTGGGCAACTAGTCAACGGTGTATTATGAGCCCCCATATGAGATAAGTGTGGCTCTTAGTCTGTTGAACAAAGCGTCTGTTTCAGGCAACTGAATTTAAATAATTCGAATCTCATCAGAGGTAAACTGATATAGCTCTGTGGTTCTTAAGTTTACTGGTTTGATCTGGCATTCAGTCCTTAATTTTAAATTACACATCTGCTTTTTGTGTTGTAATTTGGTGCTAATTGTTGGAATTTTTATTGACAGAAAGCCGTAAAGTCATCGTCCATGCTTTCTAATAGGCATTAGCTCAGTGTTTATGCAATTCTGTAGAAAATTATGTTTCGTCTATAATTCATACTTGCCTTGATAAGTGTCGAAGTAAAAGACTAGTATTCAACTGTACAGGTTGCCATTGCTACAGATTTCAATGTGAAGTTTGATGATGACCCGATCTACTTCATGATGAAAATTCTTAATCACGGTGGACTGGATTATTCATCAGGCTGCGCGTGTGGAGTGAGAAGACACGAATACTCTGGACCACGGATAAGAAGACACTAGAAGATCTGGATTTCACGTGTGGATGATTTATGTTTAATGTCACACAAATTCGAAGACTAGCAGGTAGACGAAAGCCAACAAAATGGTAGAAGAGGCAGGCAGCGAAGATAGGACTCCAGGGGAACATAGGGAAGGCAAAAGTATCAACAACCAGCACCAATCACCATGAACGACAGGGATTTGACATAGGTTACTTCCTTCACTTATTCAACCAGGAAACACGATTCAACCACTCGCAGTCGGAAGGGATGAAAATACCAAAACTAGTCAGCCAGAATCGGAAACGCAAGTTAGCCCTTCGTCAACCTGAAACCAGTTTGAAAATCTTCTGCACTGCACTCAACCAGAATAAAGAACAAGATTGGAATTTTCAACACAAATATGAGGTCAGTCATTTCTTCTGTACGGGTCAGAAACTTCCACTGCGTGTCACAAAAAGGATTCCCAACAAGTTACAGACACTTCCCAACAGCTGCCGCCTTTACTGACTCCATGCTGAAGATCACATAATCGGCCTGCTGGCCAGAAAAAAAATAGTAACAAGAAACTCTAGCTGGCAACAAACCAACCAACAGCCAATTGCTTGATAAATGCGGATGGATTGGACATATTTTGAGGAAACTGTCGAATGCCTAGCAATGTTAGTTGACATAGGATCAAGTTGGCTTCAACAGTCAATGAAATCGACAACAGTTAGTTTAAGCAAGCCATGTAAGGAGGTATAGACTTCCCAGTTGGCGTCCTCAGGACGGTAAACACCATGACAGCTAGAGACAATTGGTGATATGGCTCGAAATCGTTCTCAATGGCTGTCTGTCTGTCTGTCTGTTTTCGACATAGAACTTTGCACAAATGTGCGGAAGTTCAAGTCGCCACACTCCGTGTAGCACGCGAAGCAAGAGAAGAAAGTACAAGAAAAGCATAATAGAAACAGTGAGCAGAGGTGTGAGACAAAGGAGTAATAAAGAAAAACAAAACAGTTTCATTGGAGATCATAAGTCACAAGGAGTGGATGCATCTGCGCCACTGAGAACGATTTTGAGCCATGTCACCAATTGTTTCCAACCATAGATTTTTACCGTCCCGAGGACCCCAGCCTGGAAGTCTACACCTTCCTACGTGGCTTAGACCAACTGTTGTGGATTTCATTGACTGATGCCAAGTTTTTGTTTGACCGCCGCTAGCTTTTTTCCAGCCTGACCCTATATCCGCTAACATTGCTCGTCGAGGGAGGCGATGGCTTGGCATACGTAACACATGTCCTAACCATCTCAGTCTTTGTAGCTTCACGACTTCGTCGATTGATTTCCCCTGTTTACCTAGAACTCTACGCCTAACCTCAATGTTGCTCACCTTATTATGCCACTTTACACGGGAAATAGAACGCAGGCACCTATGATCAAAGACAGCTAGTCTTTTCATGTCTTCCACTCTCAGTGGCCAGGTCTCACAACCATAAAGGAGGACGGAGCGGACTGATGAGCAGTACACCCGCCCTTTGGTCGATAGTCGAACATCTCGTCTACGCCAGAGTCGGCGTAAACTAACAAATGCGAAACGAGCCCCTTGTATTCGTGCTGAGATTTCGTCAGAGATCAGCCCGTTGGGGCTGATGGTACTTCCCAAATAAGTGAAGCGGTCAACGTGCTCTACCACTTCACTTCCTATTTTTAAACTAGGCGTCGATGTAGTCCAGTCCTGTAACATCATCTTGCATTTGGCGGGAGCGAATCGCATGCCAAACATTCGTAGATTGCGGCTCAAGGTGTTTAGAAGACTCTGCATTTCGTCAGCGTCTTCGCCTAGAAGGACTATATCGTCTGCATATTCCAAGTCAACGAGATTATTCCCCGGTAGCAAGTCAATCCCTGAGTCGCTGAAGTCACCTAGGGTTAAGTCCATTAACACATCTATGATGAAGTTGAATAGAAAAGGAGATAATGGGCATCCTTGACGGACACCACTGGTCGTCATCAGTTCAGATGACAGCTCGCCGTAAGCCCTCACCTGGCTGTATGAGTACGAGTAGAGTGCCTTAATCAGTGCAATATATTTTCTTGGAATTCCCTTTACAGCCAAGCATCTCCAGAGAACTTCCCGATCGACAGAGTCGAATGCTGCCTTTAGGTCAAGAAATATAATGACTGTTGGACGCCGGTAGGAATGCCTATGTTCTAGAATCTGTCGGAGGGTGAAGATATGATCAATACACCCTCTTCCTGGTCTAAAGCCTGCCTGGCTCTCTCGTGTTTGTGCTTCCCGAGCACCACTCAGTCTACGCATGATTATTGAGCCTAAGACTTTAGATACTATATTAGTCAAGCTAATCCCTCTGTGATTATCACAGGAAGACTTGTCTCCCTTCTTGTATATGGGGATAATCAGTGACTTACACCAACCCGATGGGACTTCTTCTGATTCCCAGACGCTGCCTAGTACCTCAGTTAATCCGGACAGTAAGCTGTCTCCACCGTACTTAAATACCTCTGGAGTCATTCCATCAGGTCCCGCTGCTTTGCCTAGTTTCAGATTGGTGACAGCTTTAGTAACCTCAGTTAGTGACGGAGGACCTGTGTCTATATCCCATTCAGGGAGGTGTTGGATGCTCGGAAGGTTGAGCGTGGCTGTGGGCAAATTAAACTGCTCCTCATAATGCTCTTTCCAACGATCCAGTCGTCTATCCTGGGAGCTAATTATAGTGCCATTTTTTTCCGAGATTGTTTCACTAATGATTTGTCTTCTCCCACCCGTTTCCCTGATGAGTCTAAATAGTTGCCTGGTGTTGCCTAACCTCGAAGCTTTCTCCATCTCAATGGCTGGCACAGATGCATCCAATCCTTGTGATTTATAATACCCAATGATACTATATTCTTCTTCGATATTACTATTCTTTTTGTCTCATATCTCTCTTTACTGTCTCTATTTTACTCTTCTTCTCTTGCTTTGTGTGCTACATGGAGGGAGTGTGGCTACTCGAACTGATGTACATCGGTGCAAAGTTCTATGTTGAAACCAGTCAGTCAGACGACAACTGCAAATCAGAAACATTTCGTTATAACAGCATTCAACATTCTAAGTAGTTGGGAAGTTGACGATAATGCTTATGATGAATTATCTACACTAATTAGGTGTGTGTGTGTGTGTGTGTGAGTTTGTTTCAGTAATCCTTCTACAGTAACTTATGCAGATTTCAAGACTTTGCTTTTATCATATTCACAGTTCATTTACCATTATTATTATTATTATTATTATTATTATTATTATTATTATATACTTTAGCGATTCATCCAGTTTTATGCCTAATGAAAGCACTACACCTTCAATCAACACTTGTACAGTGGAAAATCCTCCCTTTTCATACAATATAAATAACCAAACATGTTCATCATCAAATGAAACAACTACCAAAGAAGACGATAAATACGGCAGCAATTATGATGGTCCTTCATCGTCTGTTGTTGCACGTCTTTTTGGCGGGACATTATTAAGGCATACATCTTGTGTAGAATGTCAGCATGTTTCAAGTTCTCGACAAGAACAATTTACATGCTTGTATGTTCCGCTGACAAAACCAAAAGAATTGTTATTATATGAAGAACAGTCGGTTAAAGAGAATTCAAGTTTTGTAAACGAGATTCCTGAAGTGAGTTTTTTTCTTTTGATGGGCGGGGGGGGGGTTGTTCACATTTTTTGTTGTTTATTATAGCATACTTTATCCATTATCATACAAGGTGTTCTAATGAGTTAATTTTCAGTGTGGTTAAGTTGGTATTAGGTGGTTAGAGTCAGTGGGCAGGAAGTCTTGGACCTAAGTTTCGTACTAGTTTTAGATACGCCTTACTGACTGGTAAGCGCCAACTAGGACGAAACCGAGGTCCAAGACTTTCTGCCGATTGCCTTCAACCATCTAATATCAACAGTTCAGAGTGCTCTGTGTCAGCGAGCCACCTAGTGACGTGGTGGCCACATTGCAAACTTGACTGATAGAATTCGATCTGCTCCAAACAAAGGACTAGACATATCACACTAGGAACTGACTAGTATCCAATCAAAAATAGTTAATTTTTATCTTCATGTAAAACAAAATGTTTCTGAAACTTTTAAGTTAGTTGTACAATTGACTTTATAGAAGTTGGGATCACTTTCTGAATTGTACGCTTTCGCTTAAGCAGTTAGGAAAAACAAGAAATACAAATCTTGACTGGCCTTATTTCTACTTTCCTGAATGCACATGTGTGAGTTTGGAGCTTTTGATGTGCAGAGATATAAAATGTAAGTAATCGTGAGGTTAGGCGTTGGGTGTTACGTAATGCGGGAAAGTCAGTCGACCAGGTTGTGAAGCTACATCGATTGATATGGCTAGGACACGTTTTGTTACTCAAGGTCTGGCCATCGTCTTCATCGACAGGAAATGTTAGCTGACATGAGAGATCAAGTTGGAAAAGAGGTAGTAGTGGGATCAAACCAAAACATGGAATCAGTCCGTGAAATTTTTGACATTTAGTTCGAACCCAGGACCTTCTGGTTACAAGGCGAGCTAGTAGACCATTAAACCACTGGGACTTGATCTAATGACTGACTCATGAATTCCAACTTCTGCCAATTCATGATGTGGTGCGATCATTAGGGAATGCCATGGGCGAGTATATGTCCTCTCACCCGACCTGCTGCACATTACTGGTCATGGCTTTCCACTAGAACCCCAGGTAACTAACTATCTACGTGAATAAGGTCAGTTGCTAGTAACTCATGGAAGAAGATATTGCGAAGTGGTCGCGCTATATCATGAATTGTCAGAAGTTAGAATTCATCGACCGGTCATTGGATCGGGTCCCGGTGGCCTTATAGTCTACGAGCTCGTCTTGTAAGTAGAAAGTCCTGGGCTCGAACCCTGGCAGTGGGTGCGTACTGATGAAGAATCGCAAACTAGGCTGACGAAACAGCTGTCCAGTACTCTCTGGCAGGTTTTCCAATGGTTCTCTAACCAATGGAATTTTATTGGATATTGTGAATCACAAGAACTTAAACAAAGAAAGAACGACAAAAGTACCGGGATAACATGAGCTCATTTTTTATTATTTCTAGGACTCCTCTCAACTGGCTGCAAGCTGAATAATACGAAAAATAAATATAAATCTTAAATTAAAGATTTGAACATACGTTTTCCACGCTAACAAGCAGTAATTCATAGGAACTAAGAGTAACATTGGTCAGGAATGTTGTAAGTTGTTAAATAATTAAGAGTGAAAAACATCGATCATTTTGTAGGAAAGTCAGACGACTAAGCTTGGAAACAAAAGCACAGAGTTCAAGAGATTTTTATGGGTAAAGACAAAGTTTAACTAGAAAGTGTAAAACAAACAACAGGTTACGTAACCACAGAAAAAAAGTGTAGTAAAAAAAAGGAGGATTTAAGGGTGAGTCACATGTTTAGACGAAAAATAAAGTTTTCTAAACAGGACAGACAAAAGGATGATGTAGCAAAACTTGTATACTTTATTATCATCTCACCAAGGCAGTGTGAAATTCACCACTATCTCTTTCTGTATACATAGATTTGATTGTAATCATTTGATGGAGATTGCTTCAGCAACAGAGTAACAAGCTAGGTGGTTTATTTCGCATGTTGATTATTCTGAACACCTTTAGATTGTCCACAATATGATCAGTGTCGAATAGATGGTGCCTAGTTGCACTGTTTATTGTCTGTCTGTGATCCTTTTTTAGTCTTAGGTTCTTTAGGATGTGTTCAGAAATACGGACAATAACCCTTTTTTTTCTCTCTCTCTGTCTCTCTCTGTGTTGTACCTGGTTTTTATCCCATAAACTTCAAGAATTAATCTTTAACAGTCACTGACATTAAATATGGTCCAAAATGAATTCCGGAAACGTAGGCTTCAACAGTTGTCATTCTTGATAGATCAGAGATGTCAGACGATATCAAAAGAGTGCTTAATAAGCATGACATCAGAGTATTCTTCAAAACATCAGACACATTACAAAGCAACCTTGTCCACATAAAAAACCAAATCCCTAAAGACTCTCCATCTAGTTGTGTCTATAGAATAAATGCTTGGAATGTGATGTCATATATAGATCGGATAAACATCGCTAGTGAGAAATCAAAATCACAAGAAATGAACACCGTAAAGCTGCATCTGTTCGACCACTGAGAAATCCAGTTAAACTAGAAAAGCTACAAAAATCACCAGCCAGCTATAGGTGTACACGCTTTAGAATCAGGTCACCAAATTGACTGACAATATTGAAATAATCCAGAAAGAGCATTTCAGAAATCACAAAAAGAACGTCTCATATAATCAGAACCACTTCATATCAAATGAAATCCAAATTGTTTGAATAGTCTGAATAATAGACTAAAACAGAATTTGACCTGGTTACAACACCCGCGCCCTCCCTCATGAAATGACAAAATCAACATGAATGTGATAAGCAATTTCATTATATGAACACACACTGCTTTTATAATTTTACACACTTATCAAATCCAACAGTTATCCACACCTGGTTTTGTTATCTTTAAAAATTAGCCAATTTGACAACGAAAAAATGAGCTCACTGTGTGATTTATCGAAATAAAATCTTCTCTATAGTGGACTTATGCTCTACTACAGCGCCCAGGTTTTCTACTGATATCAAGAAAGATGATTAATTTTTTTTTGATTACAGCTTGATTTTGTAAATTCTGGTTTAATAATATTGTTTTGATGAAGCTATTAGCAGTAGCATTAAATAGCGAAACGGTAGTAAAAACAAGGACAATATCGTTTTGCTCTTTTTCATTCATTGGGAAATACAAAAATAGATTCCAATGTGAAATCAGTGCTACTTTATGGATCGGAGACTTGGCGCCACGTCATGAAGAGCACCTCAAACAAACTACAGACCTTCATCAACAGCTGTCTTCACTCAATACTACTCAAGATCAAATGGTCGGCCAGAAAAGATCAGCAACAGGGATAGATCTCAGGGAGCGAACTAACGCAGTAGGAAGCGATTGTGCAACAAATAAGCAGGAAGAGATGGAGGTGGATTGGATTGGCGATACCCTGATGGAACAAACCATCAAGTGACATCACAAGACAGACCATCGCCCGAGTGGAACCCGAACGGGAAACGGCGAGTTGGTCGTCAGTGCGAGGATGACATGGAGGAGGGGGGCATGTGAAGAGGAGATGAAAGCATGTAGGCAGACGTGGAGCCAGGTGAAAACATCGGGGAAGAACCGAAGGCAATGGAGACGTGCGGTTGAAAACTTATGTTCCTCTAGGAACTAAAGGAGGCAATAATTCTGATTGTATACTAGTCAGTAACTAGTGTAATGTGTCTAGTCGTATCTTCACTGCAGACTGAATTCTATCAGTCAAGCTTGCAATGTGGGCGCCATGCCACTAGGTGGCTCGCCATAATTGTTATCATAATGAATCCTTAACTTTATTGGTTTTGGTATACGTATAATATGTATAAAATTTTTAATTTATTTTCCAGTCGAATGATTCCGATTCAACAGATGATCAAATCGTTGAGCCTGGGACTGATTTATCCACATTAATACAGGCACATTTTACACAAATCGAACATGTCGCCTCATCAACTCAATGTGAATCATGCGGTAAACGTACCCTGCAAGCAAGAACCCTAAAACTTCAACAACTTTCATCTCATGTATTAATATGTTTAAATTTATTTCGATATTGTCGTGTAAAACAAACCTGTTCAAAAATTATGCATCGTGTTCGCATACCAGAACGTTTATCAGTGACAGTGTCTGCATCAAATACAGAAACGTATGCCTATAATAATAATAATAATAATACTAATGGTAATGCTAATAATGATATATCTACCTCGAAAGATTCAACAAGTAAATCAAAATGCCATTCAAGGACCTACAGTCTTCAAGCAATGATTGTACACAGTGGTGTATCTATTAGTTGTGGGCATTACACATGTGTCGCTAAAGTTGGCATGCAATGGATACTATTCGATGATGATAATGCTGGTTATACAACACTGGAAGATGTTTACTCTGAGCCGTTGGCTACACCCTATCTACTATTGTATAGTCAAGTTTCTTGATTGATAAAGTTTTTTGTTTTCATCAAGTCTTTTTGTTTACTTTCTTCTCTCTTTGAGTTTGTATTTTTATTGCTTATCTTTTCTTTTTGGATGAGGAGTGGGTGGGATGAGTGAGGTTGGATGGTGTTCAACTGTGATTCTCATTTCGTTTCTTCAAAAAAGTATTTCCAGTCAGCATATATATATTAAGAAATATTCGATTCTTGTGTATTTCTCTCTCTCTCTCTCATATATGTATGCAGTAAGTTTTTAGAAACTGGTTAGGTGGTGATAAAAAAGTGATGCGTGAATACATACACATAACTGAAGAAATTTTGGTTTTTCAGTTTACTGTCAACTTTAATTAGCCCAAATATTTCCCATTGAGTTGGATAAAAAGAAGAGATGTTTTGGTGAAGAGTATGACTTCTCCTTCTCTTTCCAGCGATATCATTCCCAAAATGGATTGGTCAATTCTCTTAGCAACAAAAAGGGAATATTCATGGGTATTCATCCCCATCCGTCCAGGCATTAATGAAAAACAAAACATGTAGTGTTCAGCGAAGAGTCTCTTTTCGGTGAGTGGCGAATTCATTTTCTTAGCTGTACAATCACAAATATATGTATATGTGAATTATTTTGTATGTATGTGTACATTAAGTTTATCAAACAAAATTACAATTGGTTAAATTATTAAAAATTAACAGAGTTGTTATCATAACAGTAGAAGTGGAAGCAGAAGCCTCAAGGACAAGATCCCGCTTCAGTGTGACCACTTCAGTGTGCATATATCAGTCCACTTGCTGCTGTGGGGCCAGGCACATCGGTTGTTCGACGCGCACCCTGTCCAAGAGGATTCAAGAACACTATCCAGCATGGTTGCGAAAAGGTAATAGTGGTGCAATAAGGAGTACGATAATTGAACACACCTGGTTTACACTGATCATTCCATCTCAATAAACGCCTCCTGCTTCAAAGTGATCTACAGAGTCAAGAATAACCTACCAGAGGCAATAACGGTTCGTCTTCTCTGTACCATTGAAGCTCTGGCCATCCACATAGAAAAACTGGGGCTATGCATACAAAAGAGGATTACTCAACCACTTTTATTATCATAGTAACAACTTTGTTGATTTTTGATGAATTAATTTTGTTTGTTTGCCTGTTTTTTCTTTCATTGCTTGTAATTCTTGTATTCATTTAGAAGTCTTACGTAATTTCGTATTATCTGCTTTGTTTCTATGTGTATCCTGAGTACAACTCAACCATAAAACTATTCATATTGTTACCTACCCAACTCCTTTTTAACAAATGTTTGTGACAACTCATCACCTTTGTTACTTTCTACACTAGTTTCATTAACACTTAATTTTCTTGACCATTTTCGTATTACATAACTCCAACCAAAAATTACTAATTTTCACCTGTTTAGTTAAAATAACCATGACCAATTGTATTTTTGTTTGACAAACTTAATACACACATGTATACAAAATAACTCATGCATATATTTGTGATTGTACAGCTAAGAAAATGAATTCGCCACTCGCCGAAAAGAGACTCTTCGCTGAACTACGTGTTTTGTTTTCATTAAAAACGAATATTTTCAAATATGTTTCATTAGATTTATAAATTTTTGTGGCAAAGTTCAACAATAGCGTCCCGACGGGGGTGGGTAGGTTGTGACTACAGGATTGACCTTAAGCCGCCGACCAATCATGAAAACGAGAAATTTTGGCACAAAAAAAGTGACGTATATTTACAAGAAAATGCATGAAAACTCATATTAAACAGGTTATCTTTCTTTGATATGACTTTAAAAAATACATCCAAGTTATAATGGGGAGGTTCAGTTGCTAAGTTAGACTAGTTTTTCTGTATAATTTATTCAACGAGGTGACTGAAGATGATGAGCTGTTTTTGTGAATCGTTTGCCTCTCTTATCCTGTTGTGCAGTCTTCTCCAGAGCCGTCGGCTGAATTACTATGGTTTCCAGTAAGAGGATTGACTACTACTTACCAGGAAAATGTGGATAAGAAAACAAATTAAAATAAATGGCGTCCACTCTTAATCTAACCCTAGTCGTAACCCTAACTTTAAATTTAACACTAACCCTTATTACAACCCCTAATCCTTACTGTAAACTAAACTGTAATCCTAATTATGACCCTGATCCTAACCCTAACCCAGTACTTACCTCCACCCTAATCCTAACCCTAACGAGCTATTAACACATCGTCGAAACAGTACTTAAAAACGTGATTTGGGTGAAATCTGCCGCTTAGTTGGTGAATAGCCGTTGATATTTCAGCTATGATAATGGCAGGTGCCGTCGTCAGCCAATGACTAGGATGAGTTCAAGGTCATTGTTGCGTTCGCACTCCTGGGACGCTATTGGTGAACTTCGTCAGTTTTGTTTTAGATAACAAACTGCGTAGTGTAGAAAGCGTTAATCGTGTGGAAGCTCAAGTTAAATTGTTACGACAGAAGACAAGGACCAGGCAACAGATCGTTTATTGAGAAAATCAAGAGATATTTCTGTGTTCATTGTTGTCAGTGGAGAAGCAACGTCTTCCGATTGGTCGTTTTTTGCTCAAAGTTATTGTGTCATCTGTTTGTGGCTGTTTCTTAGAAAGTCAAGCCATATATATATATATATATATATCTGCGAATCGTATTTGCACAAGTTAAGTCTTCTGTGATTGGTTGGTGAGTTCCTCAAGGTTAAGCTTTGTTATTGTCCTTTCTCATGACCCCGATTCGGGACGTAAACATTGATGTGAATTGTTGTCTACAATTTTGGCTAGCAGACAGCTGTCATCACAAAATAAATAAGTTGAGTTAAGTGATATAATTGACGGGAGTGAGTCAAATTCAGCTAAAATTGAACGAGGGTCATGTCAACAACAGTGGTAATAGGGGGTGAGAATTTAAGAGAGAGTGGAGGAAGAATATAATATGGGGAGTCAATACTTACATACTTAAAGAAAACGATTGACATCTTTGGTTTTCAAGTATTGGTTTTTGTAGGGATTTCGTTTTATTGCATGGAGGATTTAATCATGAGCTGACATCAGTTAGAGAACCACTGGAAAACCTGGGAGTACTGGACAGCCGTTTCGTCCTAGTTTGGGACTCCTCAGCAGTACGCACCCACCGGGATTCGAACCCAGGACCTTCTGGTTACAAGGCGAGCTCGTAGACCATTGAGCCACTGGGACCCGATCCAATGGTCCTTGAATTCTAACTTCTGCCAGTTCACGACATAGCGCGACCACTTCGCAATGTCTTCTTCGATGAGTTACTGCCTCATCTTTGACCTGCTGTACCCTACTGGTCACGGCTTCCCACTAGAAGAGATATACAAGAGATATATAGATGATACTTTCATTATCTCTAATAATGAAGAGAATTTAGAAGATATCCTGGATCTTCCTAACAGCTGTCATCCTGCAATCCAGTTCATACTAGAGAATTTTGTTCGACTGAAAAATATCTTTTCAGGACGTCCAACTGTCTGTGTGTCTGCGTTCAACATAGAACTTGGCACCGAAGTGCACCAGTTCGAGTTGCCACGTTCCAAATAGCACACAAAGGTAGACAAGAAGATGAGCGAAGAGAATCAATAGAGTTTGACAAGTATAAGAGTGAAACAGAATGGGTAATGGTAGAAAGAAATATGAGAGATTACAGAGACTGAATACATCTGCGCTTGCCATTGACAACGATTTTGAGCCCTGTCACCTATTGTCTCCAGCCATTGATTCCTAGAGTCAGTCCCGTGGGCCCCAACCCGGAAGTCTGCATCTCCCTACCTGACTCAGTTTAACTGTCAAGGATTTCATGGATTGATGAGGCCATGATTTTGTTTGGCCACCACTTACTCTTTTCCAACCTGCACCGCCTATATCAGCTAGTAATGCCCGTCGGGGGAGGCGGTGGTTAGTCATGCGCACCACGTGACCTAGCCATCTCAATCTATGTAACTTTATAGCCTCGTCGATTGATTTTCTCTGTTTGCCCGACACTCTACGCCTAACGTCAACATTACTTACCTTATTATACCATCTAACGTGAGAAAGAGATCACAGATATCTATGATTGAAAGCAGTCAACCTTTTCATGTCTTCAACTCGTATTGGCCATGTTTCAGAGCCATAGAGAAGGACGGAGCGAACTGCTGAGCAGTACATACGTCGCTTGGTTGATAGCCGGATGTCACGCCTATGCCAGAGATGGTGTAAGTCAGCGAAAGCAGCTCGAGCTTTTTGGATCCGTGCTGAGATTTCGTCGCCAATCAGTCCGTTGGTGCTGATACAACTTCCCAAATAGGTGAAGTTGTCAACATGTTCTATCACTTCACTCCCTGTCTCTAATCTAGGAGTTGACGTGGTCCAGTCCTGTAGCAGCATCTTGCATTTTACAGGGGCAAATCGCATGCCAAACATATGAAGATTGCTGCCCAAGGTGTTCAGAAGACTCTACATTTTATCAGCATCCTCCCCTAACAGGACTATGTCATCTGCATATTCTAAGTCCATAAGACTATTCCCTGGTAACAAGTGGATTCCTAAGTCGTTACATTCAGTTAAGGATACTTCCATTAGCATATGTATGATGAGGTTAAACAGAAATGGGGAAAGTGGACATCCCTGTCGGACACCACTGGTTGTTATCAATTCAGATGACAATTCTCCATAAGCCCTTACACGACTGTGTGAGTTTGAATAGAGTGCCTTGATTAGTGCAATGTACTTTCTTGGCACTCCCTTCACAGTCAAACATTGCCATAGTACCTTTCGATCCACGGAGTCGAAGGCCGCCTTCAAGTCAAGAAAAATGGCAATTGTTGGACGCCGAAAAGTGTGTCTATGTTCTAAAATCTGTCGGAGAGTGAAGATATGATCTATGCACCCTCTACCTGGTCTAAAGCCTGCTTGATTTTCCCTCGTTTGTTCCTCCCGAGTTCTGCTTAGTCTATGCATGATTACTGAGCCTAGGATTTTAGAAACGTTCAACTAACAAGACGTGAACAAGATGGAGGTCTATCTACAGATAGTCAACATGGAACCGAAAAATCACCAATTTTCATAGTTGGGTGCCATTATATACAGAACGAAACCTGATCCATTCATTGAGCTACAGAATCTACAGCGTTTGCAACACTGACACTATGGAAGTGAAGATGAATCCTGAAAAAAATTCCCATTGAAAATGAACACACTGTATGTTTCATCACAAAATCCATGAAGCCAAAACCTTCACAACTTCACACACTTTCTGTTGCTAAAAACTTCTCTATCTAAATCTACAATTCAATGGAAAGTTGTCAGAAGAAGATAAGATAAGATAAGCTTTATTCCAAATCAGTACTTGTGATACAGAATGGAATTCTCAGCATTTTACTACAATATTGCATCCAGTTAGTACATTAACAATAAATATAGTTCTACATAGATTAAAGTTATCTCAGTCAGTTTTGACAACAACATATTAGCATGTCGGTAGCAAAGCCAAAATTTAAACAGAGTGTTTGAAGGTGTTAGAAAAGTAGATACTACTAGCATATTTACTGGCGTAAGCGATAGCAAAATGGTCGAGGTATACAGAGTGTGAAAGAACGAACAAGAATGTTTTAAGTAGAGTTTGTAAGGAAGAGAAAAACAAAACAACACATAACAAAAAAAGCGGTAGAGAGAAAACGTTGTACCTGTAAATGATGTGAGTTGGAAAGACGAGATCCATTTGTTCTACTGACTATTTAATAAGTTAAAGGTTTCACGCCTAATGCTTTCTTTATCGCACAGAACACGAGCTAGGTAGGGTATGGATGAGTTTTTGTACTTGCTAGTGCGGGCATATAGTTTCCTATATAGGCTTCTGGTTTTCCCTGAAGAGATACATGGGGAGAGTTGTGAATGTAGAGGGTGTTGTGAGTCAGATAAAATGGATTTCGCCCATTTTTCACATGAGTCCATGTGCCTGTCCACCAGAATATTAACAAGCTGGCTAAGTGGCAAACTGCTTACCCTGCTGACAACCTTTAACATCCTACGTAATAAGGTATAGTCTTTCTTCAATAGCCCAGGAAAGACTAAGGGGGAACAATAGAGAATAATAGGCAGAATACGGAAGTTAACAAATTGTAGGAGTAAGGGTTGGGTTACACCAGAATGTCTTAACTTCTTGATGTAGAAGGTAAGACGGAATATTTTCTTGGAAATCGTCAAGATATGAGACGACCAGGAAAGATCAGAAGATAGAGTGACGCCTAGGTATTTAACTTCCGACTTGGTTTCAATTTCAGTGCCATCTATGTTGCACATCTCGTGAGTCCTAACCAGTTTGTTTAGGTAGACAGATTTGTGCCTAAAGGTGAAATTAACTGTTTGGCATTTGGAGGGGTTTAAGGTGAGACCGTTTTCCTTGGACCATTGGCTGGTTTCTGATAAGAAGCCATTTAGTTTAGAGCAGTCACTTTGACATTTGACAGGTAAAGATACAGTTAGGTCATCAGCATATTTGACAAAGTTAATGTCATTTGAAGATGGTAGGTCATGTAGGAAGAATGAAAAGAGAAGTGGGGAGAGTACA